TTTTTTTTTTTTTTTTGTAGATTTTATTCTTTCTTATTACAGGGAGAAAACTGAAGCATACACTCTTAAATAACACATGGAAAATTCATCACAGATTATGTTCTGAAATCTCTATCAGTTATACTGTATTTTTATATAGGTATTATTATCTTAAATCTGTTTATATATAAACATGCATAGATTTGTTCTTTAGCCTAGTTACAGGTGATAAAACAGTAGAAACTAGGAATTTGTTTTAGAAAGTTATCAGTATAGATCTTTGTGGATTTATGAACTTAACCTACTCGATAAGCCCTATGGTTACTGGAAGAAACTGTGAATATGCCAGAAAGCTTACTCATGATGTTCGTCTATGTATTATGTTCTTATTTCCCTCTAGATAGATATTTTGATCTATTGATCTATGATTTTCTTTTTTTTTTTTCCCTAACTGGCTTAATAATGATTGAGTTCTCAGACTAATATTTAGATTTCTCAGACACATCAACCAAACTTCTGAATATGATAAAATAAAACACCAGAAAAATAGTACTTTACCTGTTAACCTCTCAATGGTATCTGCTTTCTAAAGGGCTTATATGTTCATGGAAGATGGGTCTGAGCGTGCAGGCAGGAGTTAGACCACGACAGAAATTCCTCAAAGGGATTTATGGCTTTAATTCCAGCTTACTAGGACTCTACCAGAGTTTTATAAGAAGCAGTAATTTCTATCTCTTATCTGAGGTACAGCCCAACTATCTGTTTGATGACTATCTCTACACAAATAGAATCGTTTCAAAGTCAGTTTGTTCTAAGCCAAATGCCTTCTTTCTTATCCTCTTCCTCTACTTCTACCTCTACCCAAAGTTCACATACCTGCTCCACATTTTACCTAAACGGTTTGTAAAGATGTATATGGTGGGGAACTTTGAGATAGCCAAGGATAATGATGGCTGTCTAACTCTAATCTCGTCATGTATCTTTCACAAAGCTGTAGAAATCAACCAGAACAATAAAACCACATAAATATTGGGGCACCTGAGTGGCTCCGTTGGTTAAGCATCTGACTCTTGATTTTGGCTTAGGTCATGATCACACAGTTCGGGAGTTTGGGCCCCACATGTGGCTTGCTCTCTATCTCTCTCTTAAATAAAAATAAACTTAATAAGAAAATGCACATAAATGAAATGCTTCCAACATAATAGGAAAGACAGAGGAATTTAAAAACTTAAGTAGAAAAGTACACTCCAAATTCTGGAAGAGATATTTCCCAGGATCCCACTAGAAGCCTTGCAGAGAACGAATACAGAAATGTGGTGGGATCTGGAAAAACTGTAAAGGAGACAGGAGAGGAAATGAAGGGCCTGGGATAGACTTAAAATCATCCCCCCTTCCCCCCAACCAAAGAGAAAATACATCACAAGTGCAAAAATACTGAGAGTGTCTCAGTGGATCAGAGCAGTCACCACAGGGAAAGGACTTAAAAGTTACGGATGTCGAGAAGGCATCAGTCAGTGTGACACTATTGGGGAAGAGAAGGGCAAGAGGGAAGGCAGAGGCTTCTCCAATCTCTGTCAGAGACTGGAGAGTGAAGAGTAAAAGAAGCAAGAGGGTAAATTTGTGCCCCTGCAAGACAAAAGAGAACCCCAAAACTGAAGGACATGCAAATCTCTCTGCCCCTAATTAAAAAAAAAAAAAGTGCTACTCATTAAAGAAACTGCACTTTGGTACATTGACAGAGCGGACTCTCTTGACCTAGGATTGCTGTCAACTATCACAAGCCAAAACTTGCCCAGGAAATCAAATAGACAAAAGCGGTCTCCACACAAACCTATTAGTGGAAGAAAATAGAAATGAGAATGGAACATTACAGCTGATGAAAATTATGTCCAAAAACCTAACAGTGAAGCAGAAGAAAACTAACACAACACTCCAAACCGATTTAAATATCTTCTAACATTCATCTGGATATATGAAAAGCACGTGGAATCAGAAATTCAAATAAGACCAGAAGTGAACAAAAAAAATAAATAAATAAGAAAAAAAAAGATAGTTGATTGAACTCAGGAAAAAAAATACAAGAAAAAAACAAAATCATCTCAGAAATAAAGGCTAAAAAACAAGACACCAATGAAAGAATAGATTCCAATGAAAACTTAATAAGGGACATTTTAAAAAGACAGAACAATTAAGAGATTCAAAATGAGAAAAGAAAAAGTAAGAGAGTTTAGAGAGAAAGTGGTTGAAATGGAAGACAGGCAAAGACAACCCAACACATGTAATTAGAGTCTCTGAAGAAGAAAACAAAATGGTGGAACAGAACGAATAGTTGAAAGTATAATCCGTGAAATTTTTCTGGAAGCAAAATAAAGTCAAAGCGTACATACTGAAAAGGCCCGTCAGGTAGTTGGCAAAACTAAGTCAGAACAATCAACTCGGACATATTTGAATAAAACTATCAAAACAAATACTCTCATATCCTGCAGGCATAAGAGAAAGAGAGTGACATCAACCTTGTCTAGAGGACACAGTGCAACAGCAGCCTTTTCAAGAGATTCAAGAGAAGAAAGTGAAGGCCAAGGATTTTACACTCAACCAAGCTGTCCTTCAAGTAGCAAAATCATACATAAACAGTTTAAAATATGCAAGACCTCCAGGAATATTGTATTCATGAACCCTCTTAAAGAATCTACAAGAGGAGGGGCGCCTGGGTGGCTCAGTCGGTGGAGCGGCCGACTTTGGCTCAGGTCATGATCTCGCCATCCGTGGGTTCGAGCCCCGCGTCGGGCTCTGTGCTGATGGCTCGGAGCCTGGAGCCTGTTTCGGATTCTGTGTCTCCCTCTCTCTGACCCTCCCCTGTTCATGCTCTGTCTCTCCCTGTCTCAAAAATAAATAAAACGTTAAAAAAAAAAAAATTAAAAAAAAAAAAAAAGAATCTACAAGAGGAAACTTTCACCCAGCCAAGAGCTGATTGGGAAAACTTCAAGAAGAGATTTATAGTGAGCATTTAATATATTTAATTGATGACTAGAGCAAAGATGGGGACAAGGGTGGAAGAATAATATATAAAAGTTAGAAGTGCTGACAATGTAGAAGGTAATGCAATTAAAGATCTGTTTAAAAAATGGAAAGGGAACAAAGAAAGCAGAATAAATTGATAACTAAATAGATGGGAGTAAAATACACCATTAAAAAGAGGCAAACCAGGGGCCCCTGGCTGGCTCAGTTGATTAAGCTCCAACTCTTGATTTTGGCTCAGGTCATGATCTCACGGTTTGTGAGTTTGAGCCCTGCATCGGGCTCCATGCTGACAGTGTGGGGCCTGCTTGGAATTCTCTCTCT